TCCCTTTTTTTTGTCCCGTTTCGTGTTTACCGCCTAACTCAGCTTGCTTCTGTTGGTAATCATTCTGGAGTTTCTATAGCTATGCTGCTGGTTTACCTTAAACTATTACTGTAGTTTAAGGTTAATTGTCATATCCATATTTTGTTTTGGTTAGGAAGATATACGATTAAGGTTATGTTAGATGTTTTGCTTCCCTCTTGCTTCGAGCATTTCTTTTCCCCACTGTTTTTTGGATTTTAGCTGGTTAGTTAATCCATTTTGACGCTCAGGTTTGAAGTGGTACCATCACGCAGAGCATTTATATATTGCCTGTTAATATTTTCTATATTCAAAACCTTTTTTACCCCATGTTAAATTTTCATGCACATTAATTCGAGTATGCGACGGACAATGATGCAATGATACTTAGAGGACATCCTTACTTGAAAATCCTTGCACCTGATGCTCCTACTATATCACCCCATGCCAAATTTTCATTGTTGAAACCAAGCTATCTTCTGCATTTGACATGTTAGCAACCATTTGTCTCAACACTCATTCATTTAAATTATTGATATTATCGAAGTCAATGGGTTCAATGTTATCCCGCAAAATACAGTGATCCTTGATTGAACCAAACCAACTGGGCTCAGTCAGATTGACTTGTCAGATCAGGCTCGATTCACCTGAGCCGACCAGTAGCAGGCCCAAGCGCATGCCTAAATAAATAAAACTCTAGCTTTGCACATGCAAGAAAGAGGATTGAAAAGATATGGAGCTAGATTCATAACAATTAAAGCCTAAATGACCCGTTAGAACAGAAACGTTGAATTATATAAGTTTAGCTAAGTATGAAGTTGCCTTGGCAAATTTGTTCATATAGTTGACAACAAAGAAAGGTGTAATGCATGCTTGTGTAAAAATAGCACTCGCAAGAAGATATATAACAAAAGCAAAGAAGTCCAAGTAATGTTATAAAAACAGATTAAAGCAGCTACAATTGATCCAGATCTTACCAATCTTAGTTAACACCTGATGATGTATCACATATTTATAAGTTCTAACTGTCTACTTAATACATAGTACCATTTTATGTTTTGACAACCAGCTTTACTAGGGTGACTCCAGAAATTTCATCATGTGGGCCCAAAAACATATTATTTAAAAATGTTGTGTATAGAGATAAAAAATTGAATTTTTTCGATAATGAAGCATTGTAAACCATCATATATCTGTAACTGACAGGGAATTTTGAACTGAGCTTGACTTCATAATTTGTGATTACGTAAAAAGAAATGATCCTTTTTCATTAACCAAAAAAGTCATGACAAATGAAGATAAGATAAAGAGGGACTAAGGAGATATTGTAATTATGAAACCAATCCAACATTGCGAAGGGAGCTTATACTTAAAGATGACAAACAAGGAGCAGTCTTTAGATTTAAATGAGTTGCAGATGATGATGTGAATTTTGTGGAGGATTAAAATGCCCTAATGTTGGGTTAGTTATTATGTTTTGAATACATTATTGTTGATATCTCAAAGAGCTTGATAACTGGTGATGATTCACCACACACTTATAAGAAGGTTTGAAATAAAAAAATATGTATGAATCAAGTCAGAGGAAGGGGTCATTAGTCAAACATCATGTGTGTGCCAAGCAAACATACTAGGACTGAAAAAAGCAAGATAGAGAGGATAAATACACACATTTGGTGAATTATTGCGATTGTCTAACAAGCTTATGTGCATTCACTTCAACTGATTTATTTGTGTTATTTCCCGAGTCTGGTGTACCATATAAAATGCTTTGTGCTTATTGACACTTGAGACCTGTTTAGGTGTCTTACCTTCTAGTTTGATGAGCTCTTAATGCATATAATAAAACCTTTACAGAAACAAGTGAATGTTAGCAATGCCAGCAACCTTGTCATACTTCTCATGGTGCAATGATGTGCTATAAATTTTTATTTAAGGCAAGTGCTTCGTTGGAAGATTTAATTCTGGAAAGGATAGATATGCCTGTTGTCAAATCTGCCCGCAGAAAATGGTTTCTTTATGTGTATATCGTCTGGTGAAATACAATGTCCTTTTTATCTTCTCAAAATTGCTTCTTCAACTTATATGTACAAGTCAACATATTTTTCAAGATTGCATGCAGATCAAGAGTTGACATTTAAGTATCAGCTCTAATGATGATTGAAGATTTGAAGTTTGAGATTCAAGTGCAATTAGAGAACTTTGTGTTCTGCATGAGAATCATCTTTGTTATAATATTTATACTTAAGTTATCAGACTGATAATTGAAAAATTCCTACTTTGATTATATTTTTATATATTTTCATATTATTTCAGGCAATTTTGGAGGTTCTGTTGAGTTTAGCTTAGAATTTTTCTTAAAAACCTGAATATATATAGTATACATTAGAATGGCTATCTTCCTAACAGGATGTGTATTCTGAGGGTTATAGAATTTTATAGTAGATGCATTTTGTGGTGTGACAAGATCAGATTTTCCTCAACAATTCTTTCAAGTGTATGAGTATGTAAAACCTAAATCATATAGTTAGAATTAATTTTCTGCTTCAGCTCTCTCTGTCTATGTGCTCTACTTATCTATCTAATCTCTCTTTTTTTTTCTCACTTGTTTTATTCTCTATTGGAGGTTACTACTTTCTTCAAAGTAAGATGACACTCAAAGGTGACACACATACTGTTAATTTATGAACTTAATTAAGACCTGATGTGAGAGTTTACCACTGGCTTAACCTAGACCCACTAGTTCAACATCATCACAATTGTAAGTGGCATCACAAGTAAACACAGATTAATGTTATTGGTGATAGTAGCTTTGCTCTGAAGTCTTTCATGTCTTGGACCTTATAACTTTTAGCTGATTATGCTACCTAACTAACTATTTATGATCAAACTTGGAGAAATGGATAAATATGGGCTTTATATTGATTTTGTAGAGTCTTCTCTGTATGAATACTGTTGTCTTGGCATAAGCACTTTTAAAGGTCCTAAGATATTATTATCCTGTTCAACATGAAACATTTTTTTGTTCTTCCTATTAAGCATGTGAACTCTCTGTAAGAAGAATAGGGGAGAGTCTATAAGAGGGTTAATCTATTGTTTCTTAATGATTAAGAATCTGCATGTGCTTAAAACACGAGAAGGCAGAGGGAAGTACAAAGAGCTATGTCTCACAAAGGAAGTAAATAAGAAAAAAGAGATTGGTTTCAAAGATGACCTGGGCCATGCATGGTTTCAGCAACAGAAACATATGATATAGTCTCCATATCCTGTTTTTTTTCCCTGTAGCTAATTGGTTTTTTTGGGTTGCTTTTAAACTTCTAGATGAATATCACCTTTTTCTCTTTCCCTCTCGTTTGAGTCGTTTCTCAGGAAGTGCTTTAAGTGGTCATTTGGTTGTAGAGTGATGGAATAAGGATTGGACCCATAAAACTTGGCAAACAATCTTATTCTATTGGATTCCCCTTGACAAGTCAATGACAGAATAAGGATTTGTCCCTTAATAACCTGCCAAACAACTTATTTTATTGGACTCATCTAGACTAGTTAAATGCATATAATTATTGGTCTAGTAGGATAACAGACAAAAGAGTATATTCAAACATATGATAGATAGTGGCTATCAATTTATTTGTTCTGCTTGCCTTGTCAGAGACAAAAAAGGTAATACTTTCTTGTATGTTATTCTTGTTAAAATTTTGATCATTTATCATTATTTTTGACTAAAACCAAATAAGAAGACTACTGCTAATTACCTTGCACTATATTATGGAGTAATATTCTCTTATTTGTTGTTATTTAACCAAAATATACTCCAGCTGAAATATCATCTTTTAGAGTGGCTATAAACCAAAATATAACCGGTGCTTTTCTAAGAACACTCTTGGCTCTGTGAGAGTAACATACGAATGGGTGACAAGTAATGTCTAGAGTCCTTATCCTTCAGATAGATAATGCTCATGTTAATTTATTGTTTATGCTATTTAAATTCAGTTGCATAATACATGCATATTCATCGAATGGTGGCTTTTCTTCACTTGCGCTTTACATGCTTTGCTATGTCACTGACTCAGTGACGAAGCTGTTGGATGTGGTTCTATTCGTCCATATGGACCTGTGAGATAGATCAGTAAGGTTGATCTATTTAGTCTTAATATTTCAGCACTTTCAACTTCTGAGATTGTTTTTTCTTTTTGAGAAGCTTTGAGAGGCTGAAAGCCTTTTCTATCTGAGATAGTTTGATGTTCTAATATCTTATTTCTGAATGCTCTGTTAATGGCAGCATGAATTTTGAAACCAATACTGTTCTTTGCTTAGTTGCCGGGTAGTCTCTGACTAGACAATTTTTCTTTCAGGAGGAGGAGGATGAATATGACAGGAGAGCACTAAACCATGACAACACGGGGGATCGTGTGTATATGAGAGATGTCAAGGATCATGGCCCTCACTTGAACTTCCACACTGTGGTTCCCGATTTTATTGATGCTTCATCTGAAGAGACCCATGATTTTAGTAGAGATCCACGTGCTGACCACTTTGCAGCTGGTGTAAGGCTTAAAGAAGACAAAAAGGCAGTAGAAAATGGTCATTCTTCTTTGACTCGTATTGATGAAGAACATCCAGAACAACTGCCTATCAAAATAGCTGATGCTATCAATTTGAAGCCTATTTTGAAAAGGAAAGAGAGTCAGGTTGACCCAAAACCGAAGAAACGTGTTAGGTTCAATCCTGGATGCGAAGGTGATCAGTTAAAGACTATTGAGGAACACAAAGATTCTCACATGGTTCCACAGGTTGTGGAGAGAGGTTATGGTCCTGCAGTAACAAGGGAAACCAATTCCGACTTGTCCGAAATCTCACAGGGGATTCCTGATTATTTGAGGAACCCATCCAAATATACTTGCTATACTCTTGACTGGTCGGATAAGGATGATGATGAAACTAACAAACAGGCATTTGAAGACTTCAGTAATTTGGTAAAGAGATCAAACCTCGATCAGATGTCACTTGAAATTCCAGTGGAGATTCCAAAGTCTATCACTTTTACACCTCAGAGGAAGCCACGTGATGCTATGTCAATCGATACTGGCTCCAGAGATATTCATGAAGACTCTGTCAGTGAACCTGATGTGTTGGCTTGCTCGACAGGCATAGCAGCAGGTTATTCTCCTGAAAATGATGTGCATGAAATGGAGGAAGATGGAACTTCTGTAGCAGAAGTTAGCATTCGCCCTAGAAGAGCTGGTCGCAACTACCGATCGAAGTCATCATCAGACGATTGTTCATAACTGTTATGACATGATGCAATGCTATTGGCTCACGTGTTCGAACTTTGTGAATCTGGTTAGTATTTGCTTGTCGCCTATAAATCTATAGTAGAATGATACCAGTCTTTCGTGCCGGTATATGTTGAAAGATAGTTTCTGTATGCTAATCAAACTGTTATTTGGGTGCATGTTGCATTGCATGTGGGACTCCTATTTCTCATGCAAAACCCATTCTACTCGGGATTCGGAGCTGTTTTGAATGTACTTTATAAGTTGTACGATTAGAAAGAATGTTCACTTTTTTTCTATAATGATGCGATTATAAATCTCCAAGGAAACACCTTTTCTCTACATGCTGCATTTTCCGAAGTAATTCTGGTGAGGGTAGCTAAAATGCATCATGCCAAGGTAAGATTCAATCAGCGAAGATGTGTTTTCTTTCAACTTTTGGTTAAAAACTGCTGTTTATTCATTATCCAGGATGATGATCAAAATATAGGGAGAAGCATTCGAACAAATACCCATAAGGAAATCATTTCCCCGGGTACATGCAAATATTTGATGAGTAGTATGATTTGGATAAGGTCGGGCTCGATATAAACTAATACATTCTTGTCATGTAGATTATTTGGTTTGCAAGATTGTCGATCCTGAAATGATATGTAAATCAAACTGACCCAAATTTATCTGGAAGACCAGCCTTTTTTCCTGACCTTAGCTATCAACAGATGAACATTACAAGAACAAAACATGTTTATTTCTTGATTCAAAAGAAAATTTCGTATAATCTACATTACTTAATTAACTCTAGTTTGTATGTCGTCAAAATATTTTTTCTTTTCCAAGTTGTTATGTCTTAATATCATATAGAGCAGATATATAACAAAATTCAAAATATATGCATACTTCACATTGATTAATCAAGTGTTAATTTCTTAAAGAAGATATGGAGTGAGATAATTATAATTAAATTTTAAATGCCAAACTTTTCTCAGTTTTTGCCGTAGCAAAGATATGTTATAACCTATCCAATGTTTCCTTTTTTTCAAAGTAACTTCCAATGAAGTAAAATAAAAGAGATCCAAAAAGAAGTGACGGAGAAGAAAAGTGATCAAGAGTCTCAGAGAGAGTATAATTCAAATCATATAATTTTCATTAATAATTTTTCATTGTGTATTTCGAATTTAATTAAATAATTTTTTTATTTTTTTATTATAATCAAAATAAAATTCAAACATCGGAATCGAATCCATGATCACATGGTTAAAAAGCTAGGCTCTGCAAGCGAGCCAATTACATATTATCTATGTACTTAATTATATTTAATATCTTAATTTTTATAATTTAAAATTTTATATTGATATCCTTATATTTACGAAAGTAAAACATCTAAATCCATTTATCCTGATGTTAGTTTTACTAACAGAAATATAAAAACTCACATATTGTCATTGCTCTTCTCATCTACAATAGTCACTCGTGACCCAGCATCATCATCATTCACCACCACTGACATCATTTGTATCATCAACTAAAATATTAAAATTATTTTTTATATTTTTTTATTTGATAAAGTCGACAACAGGAGAAATAAACTTACATGTTTCGTTTTTATAACTATAAATATATTAATATATTTTTTTTATAATCATAAACATAATAATATATTTTTAAAAAAATATAATAATTAAATATTAAATATAACTAGGAGTAATATATAATTACGAATCTTTAATCAGTGCACAGTTGCGTAGAGCGAAACAATTTGATGTTCACTTCTGAGCCACTCGTTGTAGCCGTCCATATCGGTGGCATCAGCGGCCAGCTCGATCAACCACGTTAAATATGCCACATCCCTGGAAGCGGTGATTGCTTGGTCTTACTCCTCGCGTCTTCGTTTTACCCTCGCGCGAATCGTATCCCTACCGAAATCAGACGAGAAGAGAGGAGATTGATTCGATGCTGAGGGTCGCCGGAAGAAGAGTCACTGCTTCGCTCTCTTGGAGGCCCAGCTGCGCCTCCTCCACCTTCCTCTCCCGGACTCCGATCCCCGGTGCCGCCTCTTCCGATGACGATTCCAGATCTCACGTCGTGCCTTCCGCCGGCTTCCACTTTGAATCGGTTCTTCTCCGGTCTATCAGAGGTTTAGTATTCCTCCTTTCTATGAGATCCTTTTACATATTTGCTTCAAAAGATTCAAGACCCGTAGCTAATGAATCGATGGCGTTATTTCTTCGTTTTTGTTGTTGGAAGAGGGAGATATGTATGATCGACGGATTTATGTGTGTATTTTGGAAAACAGAAAATTTTTTTGGCTCCTAATTAACTTTTCGATTAAGGATTGGCTGATTTGTGTGAATAACACAATGATTAACACAGATTAATAAATGAATCCAAAAAAGCCGATTGATGTGCACATTTATTTTGGCTTATGGCGTTCCGTGAATGGACTAAGGACTTGAAAAGGGCTGCTGTTCTTCTCATGAAACTGTTCCTTTCTTGCACTTTGGTGATGTTCTGATGTCCTGATGGCAGAGTCTCTTGGTTTCTCTGTGATCAGCTCTCTTATGTGGTGTAGAAACTTTGGCCCATCATTTATTATTCTGTGTCAGCCCACCTTCTGTGTTACCGTGCAGCCAATTATTGTTTGAGCTCACTTCTGTAGGCTTTTGTGGAAGGGGGAAATAGCAATTCTTAGAAATAGGAAGTAGTAATTTTGTCATATATCTAAGCAAGCATTGTTTGATTGATGATAATTTAGTCTTTGGTTGAGGCAACTGTTGGAGCCATAGGTTGGTATTTGTAGATGAGGTAAGATAGGGGGAGGGGGGGGACATATTGTTGTCTGGAGATGTGATGAAAAGAGTAAAATGTAAGTTGTGAAGATTTTTCTAAAAATAAAAGGAAGATTTATGTAGTTGGTCTTTCTTCTTTTATAAAGTTTTTATGTTAAGGTTTGTGTTTTATCTTGGGGTTAGGTGTTAGGCGATGGTAAATTTTGGGCTGTGATAGTCATTTAAGGTGGTAAAGAGAACGCTGAGATACATGGAAGAAGAAAAGGGAGCCCGATGTCATGTCAGGATTGGCCCTTATTAAGAATAGCATTGTTTATATAGTAAACACGAAGAAATGATCTTCTACATGATCATAACAATTATATTTGAACTTTTGAGGCGATGCTCTTCTCGATAATATAGACTTGTTACTTTTATGTAAATAGCTAAATGGAGGAAGATCCCAGTGCACGAGACTTCCCTAAATGCAGGGTCTTTAGGTTGGAAAGGACTGGTGTTAAAGTAGACAACATTTTCCTTCCAATCAAAAATGTTGTTTCCATGACTTGCATATGGAAGTTTTGCCATGTTCATGCTAATGCTAAGGTCAATAGATCATGACCTCCAGTATGGGACAAGTTGACAATTGTCTTGGTGGCTTTCTTAGGACTTTTGTTCCTTTTATCACATGTTGGTTCCCTCATTTTCTGTTGTCATAAAAAAATTTAATAACATTAACTGATTCTCTATTAAGTATTAGTATATTCTTTAATTGCCACTATACACCATTAGCTATATAGTAATCCTTAATAATCTGCTTAGATTGAGAGAATTTGAGTAAAATATAATCAGAGTATGGCAATATTTAGATAGTATTGCCAACTTATTCTGGTAAGGATTATAATTTAAAAAGGATGAAGAAAATTCAAAATAAGATACCACACAACAGATCAGGCAGCAAATATGGGGAGTTGGTGACAAAATCTAAATCAAATAAGATCTTGTATTCAGTATTAGAAGCAAAACTAAAAATTATTCACATATTTCTGAAGCCCAAGGGAGAAAATTTTCAACATTTGCTCAATAGAATCCAATTGTGTGTACTGAAAGAAGAGAAGGGGAATGTATTTGCTGCTTTGGACATAAATAAAACAGGGAGAAAAGAACTACAACTTTTTTAGTGACAAGTTTGGGCTAAAGGATGGAAACAAAATTGTGATTTTAAACCCATCCTACTTTCGACTTCCTTCCCCTCCGGTTATGTTATTGTTCCAGACGGCATACCCAGTGGTGGTGTTGGTGGCGCGCGAGGTCGGCGGCGTACTAGAGGAGATCTGGGCACCGCCTCCTCTGTAAAGCTCTTCCCCTCTAGCTTTCCTCCCCTTCAGTTGTGCTATTGTTCCGGACGACATACCCAGTGGCGGCGTTGTCGGTGGTGTTCTAAAGGAGATCCGGGCGTCGCCTTCGACCTCTGTGAAGCGCTATGTATCCCTTTGTTTAATCCAATGTTCTTGTGCACTTATTAAGCTTTACTTGATGATATCAGAGAGCAGCATAACATTGCAGGTCAAGAAGAAGCTTTTAGCACTTCTTAAGCTTTACCGACCTCTATGAAGCGCTATCCTCCCGGACGGCCTATCCGACGATGGTGTTAGTGGCGGGCGCAAGGCTGGTGACTCTCCTGCTTCTAATTTACGATTCGAGAGAGTTAGGGTCTACGATTGATGGTATAGATGAGGACGAGGCGTCAAGGCAAAGATCCTATTTTTGAGTTGTCGAATGATAAAAACTTCGGTAAGTGTTTAAATTTTTTTTTATTTTGAATCACTATGTTGAATGCAGATTTGTTGAATCATGGTTTTCAACTCTTGTTTTATTTGAATCACTGTGTTGAAAGAGTGATTGTTTAATAAGATAAGAAAAGACAAATTCAAGTCAAAAATCAACTAATTAAAGGTCCAATAAAGGAATCAAACATTTTAAATAGGGAGCAAAATTACACATATTAGAATGTTTCAATAGACAACATATGTGTTTTGATGACATATCTAGCCTTTTACTATATTTTGAACATAAAAGCCAGGAAAATACACCCCACGTACTTGTATTTGAAACACAACCAACAAGCTTATATTGTATGATTAAATAAGGGTAACATGTGTTGCATTTTATCTTAATAATATAAATTAACAATTTTTTTAAAATACTAGAACAAAGTACATAATTTGTCGAAGATCCTAAAAACACTGCCAAAGTATTGATAGGTAATGTAATTCAAAAAATGAATTAACTCTTTTCTTTATGTCGAATATGTCAAGGACTACTTGATCTGTCACTATCGAGAAACACACTTGATATGAGCCATTGTATGTAATAAAAAGCAACTTATAGAGTATCAATAATGAAGCTCAATGCATTTTGATCAAGTTTGTGCCAATGAGAAAAAAAGGCATTCTAGAAAAGTGGTATATTTAATGATTAGATGTATAAATGATAGATATTATGATGAGAATTTTATAATTTATAGCTATATCTTTCTTATAGAATGTATAGAATTTTTATTTAATGTCAGTTGAGTTATATGTACTTTTGTTACATTGATAGTATTTTTTCTTCTTATTGTAGATGGTTTTTTTGTTGACTATGATAGTGGTTTCAATGAGAGAGAGAATGAAGGGGATGAAATAGAAAAATAGTTGACGAATGCAACAGTACAAGGGGAGGTCGAGGAAACTGATTAAGAGCATATGATTCATGAGGCAAATCTTACTCGAGTTATATATACATTGGACCAGCTTAAGCAATATGCCGTCATATTATCAAAAGATGAAGAAGAGAATAATAGTGATGGTGAAGATGCAACAGTTGGTGTCAAAGTGGATGACAAAAACAAAAGTAAATTACAATATCCATATTTTGATGTTGAAGCCTTGAAGGTGACAAGAATAATCATGATTTTTAACTTGGAATATGTTTTGCTGATGCTGAAGAGTTTCGTGTTGCGATCAAACAACCTGCCATTTTTATGGGTAAACAACTCTGATATGTAAAAAATGATAAGGATAAGATTATGGTGGTATGCCAAGCTGGATGTAACTGGATGATATATGCATCGAAAATATAAGGACAAACAACTTTGCAAGTAAAAACTTTGAATGCAGAACATTTATGTGGGAGATCATTTGACAATCCTCTAGCTACAGTGAAGTGGTTAGCTGATAAATATTGTGATAGGATTAGAATGAATCCCACTTGGTTAGCTAAGTCTTCGAAGGCAACAATCCAACAAGAGTATGCTTTGAATATTCATATATACAAAGTGTATAGAGTGAGGAATGAAGTATTGTCAATGATCACAGGTACTGAAAGGGAGGAATATGGTTTGTTATGGAATTGGTGCCAAAAGATATATAACAAAAATTCGAGGAGCACATGTGTCATCAAATATAGATATGACAGGAAAAATGATATATTTCGTAGAATTTACATTTGATTTGCTGCACTTAAGGAAGGATTCTTACAGTGTAGGCACATTATAGGCATTGATGGATATCATTTGAGTTCTACATCGAAAGGTGTATTATTGATTACTTTTGGGATTGACCTAAATAATCAAATGCATCCATTTGCATATGCAGTTGTTGAGAAGGAGAACAATGATACATTGGAATTGGTTCATCAGTTTACTGGTCAGGGATTTAAATTTCTTAGTTAGCAGTGCAGATGAGTGGACATTCATCACTGACAAATAAAAAGGTATATTGGAGGTCATTGCACATTTGCTTCCTGGCGCTGAGCACAGATTTTGTTTGAAACATTTTTACAATAATTTTAAGAAGAAGCATAAGGGATTAGCACTGGAGAAATTATTTTATAGAGCTGCGAGAGCTACAAGGTGCATGACTTTAAGCAAGCAACTTTATACACTTTGTGTATAACATTCAAAGCATACTCTTGTTGGATTGTTGCCTTCAAAGACTTAGCTAGCCAAGTGGGATTCATTCTAATCCTATCACAGTACTTATCGACCAACCACTTAACTGTAGCTAGAGGATTGTCAAATGATATTCTACGTGAATGTTCTGCATTCAAAGTTTTTACTTGCAAAGTTGCATGTCCTTGTATTTTCGATGCATGTATCATCCAGTTACATCCAGCTTAGCTGACCACCATAATCCTATCCTTATCATTTTTTACATAGATGAGTTGTTTGCCAATAGAAATGACATGTTGTTTGATCGCAACATGAAACTCTTCAGCATCAACAAAATATATTCCAAATTGAAAATCATGATTATTCTTGTTACCTCCAACATCAAAGTATGGATATTGTATTTTATTTTTGTTTTTGTCATCCACTTTGACACCAACTGCTGCATCTTCACCATCATTATTATCCTTTTCATCTTTTGATAATATGACGACGGATTGCCTAAGCTGGTACAATGTATATAGAACTCGAGTAAGATTTACCTTATGAATCATAGGCTGCTGATCAGTTTCCTCGACCTTCCCTTGTACTGTTGTATCCGCCAATCATTTTTTTATTTCATCCCCTTCATTTTCACTCTCAATGAAATCACTTTCACAGTCAACAAAAAAACAATCTACAATAAGAGGCAAAAACACCATCAATGTAACAAAAGTAAAGATAACTCAGCTGATATATTAAATAAAAATTTTATACATTCTATAAGAAAGATATAGCTATAAATTATAAAATTTTCATCACAATATCTATCATTCTATACATCTAATTATTAAGTGGACCACTTTTCTAGAGAAGGTTTAGTTTAGGCCTTTTTTCTCATGCCTTGGCATAAACTTGACCAAAATACATTTAGCTTCATGAGTGATGCTTTATCAGTAGCCTTTTTATCACATATGGTGGCTCTTATCAAGTGTGTTCCTTGATAGTGGTAGATCAAGTAGTCCTTGACATAAAGGAAAGAGTTAATTCATTTTTTGAATTGCATTACCTATCAGCACTTTGGTATTATTTTTAGGATCTTTGGTAAATTTTATACTTTGTTCTAGTATTTTAAAAAAGTTCTTAATATACATTATTAAGATAGAATGCAACACATGTTACCCTTATTTGATCAAACAAAATAATCTTGTTGGTTGTGTTTCAAATACAAGTACGTAGGAGACATTTTTTTGGTTTTTTTGTTCAGAATATAGTTAAAGGTTGGATATGCCATCAAAACATACATATTGTATATTGAAACATTCTGATACATTAATTTTACTCCCTATTTGAAATGTTTGATTCATTTGCTAGACCTTTAATTAGTTGATTTTTGACTTGAATTTGACTCATCTTATCTTATTAAACAATCACTTTTTTAGCACAGTGATTCAAATTAAACAGGTGTTGAAAACCATGATTTAAACTATGATTCAACAAATTTGCATTCAACATAGTGATTCAAAATAAAAAAATTTAGACACTTACTGAAGTTTTCATCATTTGACAACTCAATAATAGGATCTTTGTCTTTGCCTTGACACCTCATCCTCATTTATACCATTAATTATATACCCTAACTTGAATCATTGATCAGAAGTTGGAGAGCCACCTGCCTTGTGCGCACCACTGACACCACCGTTGGATAGACCGCCTAGGAGGATAGCGAAGCCGGAGGAGAGGAGGTCAGCAAAGCTTAAGAAGTGCTAAAAGCTTCTTCTTGACCTGTAATGTTATGCTGCTCTAAGAGATCAAGTAAAGCTTAAGAAGTGCACAAGATCATTGGATTAAACAAAGGGATACATAGCACTTCACAGAGGTCGGAGGCGGTGCTTGGAATGCCACCGGCCTCGTGTGCCACCGACATCGCCGTTGGGTTTGCTGTCCGAAACAATAGCGCAGTCGGAGGGGAGAAGTTTATGTGAAAACCCTTTTTATC